ATAAGGATATACATGTACATGTACTGTATTGCAGGATTTTTTGGTGAGGGATTCAATTTGTCAAGTCCTTAAATTACAAGAATACTCCAAATTGAAACTCAAAAATTATTGTCAATTATTAGCTGCCACATGTTAGGAGTTACAAAATTTTATTGGGCAACCTATCAATTTAAACAATTTCTCTCAAATTTCTCACCATCAATAAATTCTCTCATATGTTATACAAGTATTTGGCTCAGTTGTTTGTGTATTTTTCTATTAAAAGTTGTTTTTATATGTACATGTATTGTTTATGTGTTGTTTATGGTCGGTTATTGTCACTGGTTACATATTCTGTGAATTTTGTGTTTGAATGAGATTATGTGATAATGAGACATAGGAGTGATTAATATTACTATTATGATAACTGTTAATAATACACTCATTCAATTGTTAATACTGTAGGACCAACAATTGTATTATGCTGCTCATGATGGAAATATAGAAGGAATGAGCACTGCCCTCTCCAATGAGGCAGATATCAATTGGAAAGATTCGGTAAGTGTATGATGTAGTGACTAGTGTATTAGTATGACTTGTATAATGTAAAAGTACCTGCAGTTTAGTTATAAATCAGTTTATTGTATTAATATTGTGTAATTACCGTATTTCATCATGGAAGCACCTAGACATTTATTCTTATAGAGACCCGTTTGCTGGGTGTTTAAATGAATTAGGTGTTTCTATGAGGATAGACATTTAAATTCATTGCCGAGGAGTCTTCTTCTATGAGCTTCCTTCTCAGCTACAACTGCTATGTTGCCTGTAGTGTGTGCCAGTAACGATGTGGGCAAAGTGGGTGTGGCATAGGCATCTAAACAAGCATGGGCATTTATTGTCAATGTTTTATGCTGTCTCTAGGTGTTTATACAGGTACGGGCATTTATTAGGAGTAGGTGTTTCCATGAGGAAATACGGTATGTTCCTCAAACACAGTATCCTATTGATGACACTCATAGTCCCTTCTTTCTGGTGGTGTGTGTTTATTCAAGGATCAGTCCTTATTATCTTTATTGCATTTTATGAGGAAACAATGTATTTTATACATTTCTATTGTGAAGGATAGCACACATCATAACAATGTTGGTATAAAATACATTGTAGTTATATACCATACATT